TCTCCTCTGAAAAAATACAATATTCAGAAAAAAAACAAACAAAAAAGACAACTGATTTAAACTAAATGATAGGTCTTTTTCTCATTTGAGAATATAATGCATTTATTTTCATTATTGTTATTATTATTAAGTCAGGGTTTCACTCTGTTGCCCAGGCTGGAGTACAGTGGCACACTCGCAGTTCACCACAGCCTTGACCTCCTTCCACCTCAGTCTCCTGAGTAGCTGAGACCATAGGGGCACAAGCCACCATGCCTGGTTAAATTTTTTCTTTTTTTTTTTTAGAGATGAGGTCTCGCTTTGTATGTTGCCTAGGCTAGTCTTGGGCTCCTGGACTCAAACAACCCTCCCACTCATCCCAGCCTCCCAAAGTACTGTGATTACAGATATGAGCCACGACGCCCGGCCAATACATATTGTTAAAAGGCAGAAAGAGAACACAGAGAGAATACATTCTGGTTTACAAACTAAAATTTTGTAAGTGCTCCTTACACTTTACTTTCACATCTTAACATCAACTCTCATCATATTTAGAATTTAAGCATGTTTTAGCCAGATAAAGCCTATCTTAAAAGTGAGGATATTAAAGGACTTAAAATACCGGGGATGCCAAAAAAAAGTGTACACATTTTATCAGAAGTGTCTGGATACTGATAGTAACCACTTTGAGCACAAGTCAAACGTGACTTACATTCATCTTTTGTAATTGGTATATAGAGTATTACAATTTCTGGGGTTTTTTTAAGTATTACAATTTTAATACAGTTTTTTCCTTTCTTAAAATGTGTATTTTTTTAGCGCTCTCTGTATTTTTACATTGCCACTTCATTTGAATGCTACACATTCAGTTAACAAGTTGCATTATTATCCATATTTAACCCCGTAAGAAAGGTTTAAAACATGGAGTACCAATTAAAATAGAAAAATGTTAAACCGAGGTCATTCCCCCATGCACTTGAATGTTTACTTTTGTGAGAAGCTTTTTGTTATGGTCAAAAGATAAAAACACAGTATTCAAAGAATTCTTAAAGAAACCGTTATATATTCTGAAAGTAACATCTCCGGTGCGGAGTCAGTCAACACTCATCTTTGTGAAGAGACCATAAGCTTTCCACAAATTACTACACATGCAAAATGAAAAGGCTTTGTTCAGAAATAAAGAAAAACCTATATAATACCTATATACTTATCATTAGTCTACATTCCAGGCCAAAAACTATAAAATTTCAAATACCTTCAAAAGTCTATGCGCTTGTAAGTTTCATAGCATCAAGAGACCTGCTGTATCGACCTCATGCAGTCATCAGTCACTTATCAAGTATCTATTATATTCGTAGGTTTGGGCAAAATTCAGCTCGGCTACTGGTTTTAAGACCAACAGTATATTCAGCATTATTTTAGTTAAAGAAAACACAAAGGAAAGCAGCAATTCTTCCACTTAAGGAAATAACCACCTTTAAAAATGCATCCAAGCACAGGCATTATTATAAAAATATAATTATCATTCTAGTTTCTAAAAAAAAAAATTAAACTCCTTTTAATCCAGTAATTTAAAAAGGATGAAGTAGTTTTCCACGTGTCACAATTGGCTCTGATTATAGTCTTGCGTGTCAAAGAAAATACTCTTTTAAATTCTATATACACACATATATTTGTGAATATATATATGTTTGTATTATATATGCATTCTACATTTCTTTGGGGAATAAAATACTGAATTTCCTATCAGAGAAAGTACATATTTGCAGAAGTTTCTGTGAAATTCTTATGTTCTTAATTTCAGGACAAATACAAAATTTGTATTTTTGTTGTTGAAAATAATGAATTGATGAAACTATGTACCATTAGCACCCCTTCACAGGAAAATGTTTGCTGAGGATTTAGAGAATTACTGTTAACGTCTTCCCCACAGCCAACTAAGGTATGAAACAATTCTCCACTTTCCAAATCTGCCCACACAAAAATGCAGATTTCTTAGCAGTCTAATTCCTCTCCACTTGGTCATTCTCTAGGAAAACGCTAAGCATGTCAATTCAAATCCTGCGGGTCTCTTAGCAGTCCATGCCTCTTCATCAAAGTCAGGTCTTCATATCTTGGCCATTAAATTTCTAGCTGAAGAAGATACCTGCCCACGATTTCTAAAGCATGTACTTCTATGTTGTCTGCAGAACGCCTACACAAACTGGCAATTCTGCTTCGTCAGGATAACTAGGTCTCCCTAAACTTTTTCTTTTTTTCTTTTTTTTTTCCTCTGCATCTCTCACATCACGGTAAGGGCTGGTTCTGAGAAGGGAGATGGGCTCATACCACCCCCTTTTTAAGAAAACAGTTAACTGCAAGGTTAACTCTGATGTTTAAACCCTATCAGCCATGGATCCCTTCAAAAGAACATAGGATATGAGCACATAAAACCGTCCTCCCCACCAACTGACCAAATTAAAAAAAAAAAAACAAAAACAAAGGAAGAATCCATACCACCACCTTGTGGATTCTTTTCGCAAGAACAGCACCTGCTTACTTCAGTAGCCCCCACCCAACCCTCACCCCAAATTTCTTAAGTTGGGTCCAAATGACAGATCGAGATCCCCTGTCCTCGCTCACCCCGGCTCGCCTATGCACTCGGTGTAATTCATGACGCGCACCCAGCGATGGCGCGAGCTGCAAGCCATAGCGCAAGGCTGGGCCAACCAGCCGCCACCTCCTAGGACCCCTAGAGCTGCCTCCTGGACTCCTGCATCCCCTCCCTCGCCAACCCCAAGACAGCGACAGAAAATAATTAAAAACAGGGCCACATCAGCCGGTCGGTTCAGAGAAAGGAGTCAAAGAAAAGGAAACCCGCATCCATGGAAAAAAGAATCCCTTCTGGGGAAGGGGAGGGGGTTATGCAGAGGACGTCCTCCGGGTGTCCCTCGTCCTCCAAGCGAAACATTCATTCCCAGGGTGGTCTGCGCAGGCCTCGGGGGTGCAGGGGTTGGCGCGACCCCCCAATTCCCAACCCCGCCGCTCCGGGAAGAAAGGGCGCTGTGTCTGAACGCCAGCAGGCGCCGGAATGGTGCTCCCGGGCCCAGGGCTGCTCGGGGCACGGGTCTATATTTGGGGAGCATAGAGCCCGGGGAGTCGGCCCAGGAGACCCCCGCCAAGGGACCCAAGCCTACCGGTTCTCGGAGGAGCAAAAAAGCCAGGGCAGGTAGAAGGGGAGGGGAAGGAAAGGGGAGTCCAGGAGACCAACTGGAAGATGAGAATGAACCCTGGGGAGCCGACCGGCCTCCAGGCAGGCGAGAGGAGGAGGGAACCGCCGCGGCGTGGAGGGCGCAGGCGGGGACCCGGGTCTCTCCTCCCACAGCAAGCCCCCCACCCACGCATCATCTGCAGCCGAGCGGCTCATACCTCCTTCCCCCCATTCCCGCCTGAGCTTCCGCAGGTCAGGCCATGCGGGTGCGGGCGCAGGCTGGCGGCGTCTCCGCCGCGGCCTAGGGGAGGGGTCGGGACTGAAGTTCACTCGCTCTCCCTGTGGTGTCGCAACCCCTCGCCCACCCCCCACTGTCACCCCAGCCTCGGGTGGCGCGCGTCGTGGATCTTCGCCATCAGTTGCGCCCAATGGAGTGGGAGGGGGCCAAGCCGAGCCGCACGCAAATTGGGGGAAGGGGGAAAGGTACAAGATGCAATCGGCCTGGGACAGCCTAGAGCCTTGGGTTTGGGGAGAGAAGGGGTAATGGTTGTGGCGTTTTCCAAGGCTATGGGGGTGGTCCACCTATTAGAACTGACTCCCCAGACCCCCATCTCGGGGACTGGCAGACCATGTGCCCCGCAGGCTCTGCATTCCCTCCTCCTCCGAGGGGCGTTCTCGGTGCGCACCAACTGGGGTTTCAGATCCCCTGAGACCTGGGCCATGGCGCCGAGAGCCTGTCCCCGCAGCTACCAACTTTTCTGGTCCTCCGGAAAAGCTCGCAGCTCAGCGAGGGTGCTCGGGCGGCAGCTGCATGCCCCTCCGTAAGGTCCAGGCCAGACCCAAAGCCTCCAGAAGAAGTAAAACGACCGACTCGCCCCCATTTCCGTGACTTGCCTTCCTCCCCAACCCTGCAACACACACAAACACACATGGGAAAGGGGTGCATATAGTCTGCTCCCCAGCTTTGCAGAAGCGGCGCTGAGCTACCGTCATTTCGTCTTCACGCGGGGTCTCCAGCGCACCGGGATCATTCGCCAGCAAAGCCCAGCCAGGTCCTAATCAATCACGTGCGTTATTTCGTGCATCACCCAAGCCGTCATCTTATCCGAGGCCAGGAGATGAAGGAGGGAAAAAAAATCGCTTAATGCAACCCAGCCAAGCCAGTTTTCCCTTTTTCTTTCTAGTTAACCCCCTCCCCGTGCCCTCTCCCTACCCCCAAACAAAAGCACCCCAGGCGGTGGTAGCTGACAGTTTTCTTAAAGGAGGGGAAACAAGAAAAGGAAAAAAAGAACCTCTGCTTGTTCACAGTTTGCAGAAGTCCTCCTGCCTTTACCATCTCTAGTCCCAGTCACTTCACTCCTCTCTCTGTACTGCAGATATATTTTCCCCCTCTCCCCGCCACTGTCTTCTGTTTATTTGTATGTAAGGCAGCGCTACTTTGTAAACACATCACACACGGCCCCAGAGCCGTTCAAATAGCTGATTGCAGCAAAACGATTCCAAACAACTGTGGTGCCAATGTTTCTTTTAAGTAAAATAAAAGCAAATGTTACTGAGGAGAGATGCATGTAGCTAGCACATGACAAGCCGTACATATATGTCCACACTCCCACCCGCACCTAAGAATGGGAGTGAAACAGATGGAAGAAAGTCCTGTCCACATTTTTTTTTAATAAAATGAAAAAATAAATACATGTCCGATGAAGTGAACCTCAATGTCTGCAGTGAGGCTTTCCATCCTTTGCTGGAGAGCAACTGCAAGCCAAAAGGTTTAAGAAGCTTTTTAAAATCATGTTAATAACAGAGAGACACATCATAAAATTGCACCTACCTTAGCCGTGGAAAAGCTGCATCAGCTGTAAGAGTTCTTTTTACACATCCAGATTTTTCTAGGGAACCCGAAGCGGGGGTATGATTCGGGAGGGTGTATTTAGCCCCGGCGCCTTTCTTTTCTGGAATCCCAACTAGATTTGTTCATCCAGAGGAATGCAAGGGCCACCGACACCGCCGTTCGGAGGAAATTCGTTGTTTCTGCAGTCAATAGTCTGTGACCAGGAAGAACAAGCATCACAATTGAAGCAGGAAGGGCCGGGCTAGAACTGAATAAGAGCTCTGTGCTAAGAGACAGAGACGGGAGAGAGACGGGTCTGCAAGAAAAAGAGAGATTGAGGAGAGAGGTCCTGCTGTCTCCGGCGCTCTCCCTCTGCTATTGGACCAAACTGAATGAAATTTACAAAGCCAGCAGCCAATAGATCTCCGGAGTCGGCCCCATCACTACAGAAACCACATCCACAGCTACAACCTAATGCAAAGAGCAGCTAATCCAAGTGCAAACCAGCTGTAACAGAGAGATCCCGGGTACCAGAGAGATAGAACAGGTGGGCATGTTACACGTTGCCACCGTACCAGACGCGCGCAGGAAACCTTCTTCCTCTTTGGCGTCTTAGGACACTCAAGGTACCCTCCACACCAAACACGCTGCAGTATTTGCAAACATCTTTAACTGTTTAAGGTCACGATCTCCAGCAATCTCGGTGGTCAGACTGACTTAACTATTCCCAGTTCTGAGTTACTGTGATTATATTGGGAAGAAATGACTTCAAATATATATATATATATATTTTAAGGCAGCAAAATCGGAATGCAGATCTGTAAAGGACAGGACTTCCCTTATGCTTAGGTGATGGTTGAAAGATGAACGGAAGTTTTTCATTTATTTCTTTTCTTATACAGGCATGGTTTTGATAAAGAAAATATTAGAGATGTAGCTAGGATAAGCCAGTGATTTTTAAGTACTCCTCTTCACATTCGGGGTTCAGGAGTTTATGTTTCCCAGGAAGTTTCAAGTTGGGGAATATGGCCTAGTATTTAAAGTTGGGTAGAAAAAGTTGGCATTAATTTGGCAATGTTTAAAATTCCTAGCTGATAAATCAGAAGATATCATAGAATGTTGTGACAATGTAACACATATTCTCAAACTGGATTGCTTGGGTTCAAGTTGCATATGACCTTGGATGTGTATTTAAATATTTTGTCTCCATTTCTGCATCAGTAAAATGGAGACAATAAAAGCAATTGCCTTATAATATTGTTGTGATGATTACTGAATTAATGTAAGTCTTGACATGCAAGAAGCACAAATAATTCTTAACTTTTAAAAAAATTATTTCACAGCCCATTAGTTCATTTACAGAGGAACAAAGATAATGTTCCCAATATGTAGAACATTCTCCTAAATGGTTCTGCTTTACACAGTAAATCTAACCACCAAACATGTCATAATGATTTCATGTGATGGTGTAACTAGGGATTCCTCACAAGATCTAAGAGAAGGACACTTGGGCAACATGACCAATAATGGGAAAGGTGAAGGACCTGGTTTTATATCAAGGTTCCACCCTCGCTAACTTTCCCTTCTTGTAAAATCAGTTATGTTCCATAAATCTGTTAAACTGAGATTAAAAATAGCTTTCCTATGGGTTTCTTGTAAAGGTTAAATTTGATAATATTTATGAAAGCACCCTTTACCAAAAAGATGAATACACATACATATATATATGCATTTATCTATTAATAGATATCTATACCCAATAATAGAGAAACATATGTGTTCATTTATGCTATTGGATGGGTATTTAGAAACATACATACTTCTATTGTACAGATATTAAAGAACCACTAACATACTAGTATTGTTAATAAATATAGCTTATTCCCCAAATCAGTGACATAAACGCAGATATATAAATATAAATATGCATATTTATATATTTTAAAATAAAGCAGAACTTCAACTTGAGCTCAATCATGTATAATAGGCCAGAAAGTCAGGGACTTTTCCAAGAATATATTAATTGATTGAATGATTGATTGATAAATTCATCAAGTATATTTTTAGCACTGACATAGTCCTAAGCACTGAAAATACATCTGTAAGACACATCTATTTATTTTTGAGGAAACATACAGTCTAATAGATAAGGTAGCCAAAAGCATAAAAAAACTATGACAAGAAGGTATGTCAAACTCATATATGTGAATTCATAGACACTCATGAAGGTGGAAATGAATAAGGAATGGTTTTTCAGAGGAAGAGTGCTCTCAGCATGGAAGGAATGGTACATAAACGTTGATCAGATGAAGAAATTGTGAAAGAAGACATGAAAACAGGCTAGATAAAGACATAACAGCAATAACGTATGTAAAGGGATTTGGAAATAAGGAGGGTTTGGAATAGTGGGTATAGCTGTTGAAAAGAAGAGTGTGAAGAAGGAATTAGAGATCTAATTGTAAAGGGCTTTGAGTGCCATGCTGAAAAGGTGATATTTATCCTGCAGGCCAATAATGGAGAACCAATAATGTTTTAAGCAGCTGATGTGGACGAAATAATCAGATTTCTATTTTAGTACAATCACTCCGGAGATAAAATGGAGAATGAACTGGGGCAGGCCAAGGTTGAAAAGAAAGAAAATATTTCTAAGACTGTTGCAGAAATGGATGCATCAAATGAAGTCCAGAATGAGAGAGAGGGGAGAGTGAGAGGGAAGGGAAAGGAAATCAGCAGAGGGAGAAGAGGTAATTTCTAAATCCATTGAGGCAGCATGATTAAGTGAATTTGTAGGGAGAATTTGAATTCATGGAGAGACTGAGTATTTGGCTTGGTTTGTGGGTAGGTTGCTTGGGTAGCAGATCTCTCCCCTGAGACATGTGACCTGGAATAGACATGTGGTCTATCTAAATGACCCTAATGAGATTTCAAAAAAATAATTTTAAAGATTAAAAAATATTAAAACATCTTTGGCAGAAAGAATCATCATTTTTAAAAAGTGAATGTAGAATTGTATGAGTGTATAATTGTATGAGTGTATAATTTTCTCTAATCCAAAATCCTTCACAAGAAACCGGATTGGAAGAGGGGCAATAAAACATACCAATTCTTAATCGTTGAGAGGGTAGGTTGCATCACATTCAAAGAAGCTAGAGTTTTAGGTCAAGGATTTGTGGAATAGATAAGGGTATCATTTTTCATGCTTCCATTTGAAATTGGATTATGTGGTATAGCAAGATGGGGGGGAATGTCATATAAGGATAGAGAACTCAGAGAAGAATATATAAACTGGGTTTAGTACAAGACAACTGGGAGGGACATGAGAAATAATTTATGCCCTAACACTTGCCTCCTCTGATATTTCCATCTCATTGTCTCCATCAGCATACTGGCATCATGTTCATGTTCCTGTGAAATTGATATGTACAACCCAATTGCAATGTCCATGAAACCAGGCACACTAATTTATGTTGTTCCTACTAATACAGTGGTTTAAATGAAACAATATCTTTAAGTAGAATAATTATTATTAGTGCAATAGTAATGTATACCATGTTATTAATTACTAATCATTTTTAGAGATAAAGATATGTATAATGTAGAAGGTGCTTAAAATCTAATAAGGGAATAAATTAGGTTCTTCAATAATAAAAATCCAACTCAATGTATGATCTATGCCATCTCAGAAGAATTAGTGTATAGTAGTGAAAATTTAAAAATAAGAAAAGAGGCAGTTTTCTTTTTGAGAAACTTGCCCATGGCAGGTCTTTCTGCCATGAATATTCCTTTTTCCTTCTCTTCTTCTTTGCTAATAAGCTTTGTTTTAAAACTCTGGAGGAGAAAAAAAGAAGTTTTGTTTTTTACTATGGATGGCATAGTCATTACAAATGTTGAAATCATAGGAGTTGAATAGAAATGGGATGGGACCCTAAAATAAGAAGAGACTAGAGGTTGCTTTGATGTTGTATGATGGAAAGGCTAAGATAAATGATAGCACATGCAACAAAAGTTATTTGTATGAAATGAAAAATGAGATGAGGTGCTGATGGATTATATAAATGCAAATGGCCCACAGAGCTTAGACTTTTGGTAGAGTAAAATTTGACTTCAACACGGAACTTAGAATGGGATCCAGAAATCTGAGAGAAATCCCTGTGGATATGACACTTAACAGAACGACAGAAAGTGTTCACTTAAAAGGAAGAACTAATCTTTAGAGAAAGCAACCTTGGGTAGGTTCCGGATGGCAACCTGAAATAAGGGCATTCTCCATTTGTAGATTTCTTGCAAGAAAAAATGTGGTATGGAATTCAAGGAAGGAATTTGACCTCCACAAAGAGTAGGTCAAAGTCAACAGTGTGAGGGTCTGCAGAAATTTTAGGGGTAAAGGAGGATGGGAGAATTCCATTGCATTTTGGAATCAGTAGATCATTGACAGCTTTCAACTGAATATTTTAGGTAGATTCATGAGTGAGGCACTGATGAGGAAGTTGAAACTATAATTATATTCTTCTTGTGAATGGAAAAAATGATAAATCCACAGATAACAGGGTTGAGGTAGGGACATTTTTAAGTAGTTTGCTAACTGTTGTTTTTATTCATTTATTCAATAAGTATAAATATGAGAACTGCTGCTTATTCTGAGAACTCTGAAAAATACCAATGATGGATAAATAAGACATGGTCTTTGCCCTCACATAGCTGATTTTGAAATTGTTTTTATCAGAGCAACTGTCCCATTTTATTTTTATTTATCATGTTAATTTACTTATGTTATCACTTTGATTTACCATTGTAACACACTCTTAGAAAAAAATCTCGGCTACATGTAATGATGAATACCTTGGTGGGCAAAATTATATGAGGCCAGTTCAAAGCATGAAGTTTAATAAATCTGAGGAGAGATAAGACAAAAAGTAACCTTTAAATTATATTGATATCTATATCTATCTACACATATACATAGATAGATATTACACATAACTAGGGTTAGTAACATACTCAATTTTTTAGAAAATGTTTAAGTAGTGTTATTCTCAAACTAGATGCAATGACTAGATAAAAATATGAGCTAACCAACAACATAGATTAAATAGAAGAATGTTTTGAAAACCTTAGAATATTTGCTTTCTTAAAGTTTAGCAAATTCCATTCTATCTTAGTTTATATTCCAAAGTTACTAAATAAATTTTTTTTTCCCAAAGTAAACTTCAGATAAGTTGAAAATGAATTATTAACTGATAATTCATTTTCAAATAAATGCCAGCACCTAAATGAGACTTTCTTGAACTAACTTAATGTATGCATTTCTTTTCTTGAGTCAGTG